AATTTAATACCAAATTTTGTTCCATGTGGCAAAAATGCCAAGTGTAACCTGTGCCACATCTTCCAGGTATTACAAAATGATCTGCACTTAAGATGAGGAAGAAAAACAGAATGACTGAAAGTTTCTTCTTGGCTTCTGCCCTGGCAATCAATACAGATACATACATCTGAGCAAGAACCAAGGTGGTTAAATCCCTTCCTCTGAATCTCAAAAGAATTCATGGACATCTATTCCTTGCCCATGCTCTTTTTATTCCCAGTGGACAGGGATATTTGTCTTTTTCACAGAGGAGGTGTCAGATCATGGCCCCTGGCAAATCAACATGAATCACTGGCTACAATTCAAATGTGTGCTCTAAGAAACAGAATTTTAGCATCCAGAAACTCCACTCTCAAAGCGCTGAATGAGGAAACCTGTTGAGCCAGTGTGTTGATTAAAGAGACCAATACTTTCACATTCATTTTCAAAAATGGTAAGGGAGGGAGAGTAAGACATTACCTTTCCCACTTTTACCTTTTATATAGAAAAATAGGCGCACTGGCCTTGCATTGTTAGTTTTACTAGAGTATCTGCTGAACACCACAATGCATATGCATGCAGGTAAACATAAACACACACGTACGCACAATACTGAACTTTGTGTTGGCAGCCAGACTGCGGTAACCCATGTCCCCTGGGCAGCAATCAGCTATGAAGGAACAGGAAAAAGTTAGTGTAATGATTAACTAGCCCAGTGGGCTATTATTCATGACAAGTAGAGCAGCAGCAGTGCAGGCTGCAATGCCGGTCACCTCTCCCTCTGGAATGCTGCTGGATGCCTGGAATCAAACTCAGCACAGAAAAAACCAGCACATGTAATGTCAACATAAGAAAGAAGCTGAATTTCCCCTCATGGAGTTTACACGTAAGGAAAACATGTACAGAGCAGATATCTCCTGTTAAGCTTGATTTTGAAAGAATATGACAGATTCCAGTATCACCATTTATCAAATATGCATGCATAGGTTTTGGCAAGATTAATAAGGTTATTGGCATCAGCTACGGGCAATCATTCCCTATACAGCAGCAAGCAAACAACTCTAATAGCAACTGGCAAGTATTGACGTTGATAGCTGCGGCCACGGTGTTTGTACTGGAGCACATGTAGCATCCATGTAGCTCAAAGACTAAACCGTGAGTACCCCTATGGCCAATCAGGGAAAAATCAGTGTCATCATGGCTGTTCCCCTTCCTTTGGTGCTTTTACCCTGCAGTCCCCAGCAAGCTCCGGAAATTCTTTCCAAATTCTTTCAAATCTTTCAGATTCTTCTAAAGCAGTCCATTAAAGGTGAACACAGCGCAACACCCACTGTTTTTCTCTTGGTGCATTTTGCTGAGAGGCAATACACAACAGCGATGGCAGAAATTACAAAGATTCAGTTTTATTTTTTATTTTCCAACAAAAGCATTTGCTGCTTATTTAAGAAGACCTTGAAAGAAACTATTTAGCAAAAAAAAAGCAAATTTTTTCTTTCAATAAACTCACTTTCCCTCTGAAAGGCTTTGCTCTGTGTGTGGATTATTCATTTACTTTAATTATTTTGAAGTGCCTCTGTTTGAGTGGGTAGGAGTTAAGTATCCACAACACCAAAGTAGGTCCTAGAATTAGTTGTTGTAAACAAAATGTTCTGCAGTGGCCTAAATCTGCATAAGTAGTAAGCCTTGAGTATTTTGGAAGTCCTTTTCCACAAAGAGTACTTCTGGGGACCCTGAAAGCTATAGGACCCAGGTCCATAAGCATATATTATGGGACTTACATTCTATGGATAGGTCATACTGTTCTATTCATAAACAAATATAATTCCTTTTTCTCATTTTGTAGGAAAACAAAAATGTTGCTCTTATTTAAATGTGGAAAGCAAAATCCCACCTGGAAGAGGCTGGTGCCAACTAAAGCCACTGACCAGAAATTTTAATCTGTTGTACATGAGGATTTCTTAGGACACAATGACCAAGTGATATAAGAGAATGCAGAGAGCCAGAACAACACACACAACTAGGCATGTAATCAAAACCAAGTATCTTTCATAATCTCTCTAATCATAGCTTGCTCTCTCTCACACACATGTGTACTCATGCACAGACAGAGGAATACTGAAGTTGTTACCCTTTGTTAAATGTTTTCAGCCCAGACATCTTTCTCGTTAATAGGTACACACACTAAAAACAACGGCAAGAACAAGCCAAGAAAGCCCTAGGAAAACTTCAGATGGAAGAGTTTGGACATAGTTACGTGCACAGATTCCCAGAAAGAAGAGGAGGAACTGAATCTGGGGAGAACACACAGGATTATCGCTTCACAGGCAGTGAGCACCGACTTGAACAAGGATTCAAAAAATAAACACATTTAAATCCCAAACTGTATTTTCAGTGACACCCTTTCTCCCATGACTTTATGTACACTCAAAACAAAACCCCAGCAGCTAAACATCCACAGCCTTGAGGAATTTCAGCTCTCAATCTTAGGAAAAACCTATCGTCAAATCTTTCCACTGTATCCACAGGCTTCTACCACCACATTCTGATTTAAGGACACAAATGCAATAAAACTAAAACCAAAGAGAGAGAAACCAGTTGAAATGAAGAGTTTGCACTACGCATTCCCTCACAGATATGGAAGGTGTGATGTAGGCATCTGGAAAACCAGAAGATACCTTCTCTGGTAAATCTCATTTTGTAAGTCTCCCCACTTTCAATTTGCATGCCTGCGCTTTGCACATACTTCCATATAAATTTATAGATTCTCTGCACTGTTGCCCGTAGTTACACCCAGTATTTACAGGTAAGCCTGCAACCCTGTTCCTCCACAGAGGTAAATGAGCAAGGAAGGAAAATAGTATGAAGGAAAGTATGAAAACAATTCAGCACTTACTTGTCTCTAGTTGGTGGTTATATATGAGGAATAGTTGCTTTAAAATACAAGTTGTTGTTGAGGTTTGATTTAAAAATCTCTGTCAGTTTTGACATTCAGGTGAAAGTATTGCTGTTGGCTCCAGAACAATTTGCATATCTTATCACTAAATAAAATGTCTGAGGTGTGCACCAATCTGATGAAATTATAAACAGGAGTCCACACAAGCACACATGCCTTCCTGTTTGATTTCTGTCCTGTTCACTCCTCTATAATAAATTATATGATCATCTCATTCTAGCTGGAGGTTTAACTGTGCATGTAAAAAGGAAAATGATAGCAGCCTATTCTTTTTCACACTTTACAGCTAAGAACCTGACAAAATTGTGGATTTGGGGAACAAGCAGAAAAGCTTAGTTTGTGACCATCTACCTCCTCTTCAGTTGCCACAAAATTGGTCAAAAATCCCATGTATTTATGCATTTTAAAAAATAATTTCCCACACCAAAAATAAATAAATAAATAAATAAATTGAGCTACACCTCTTTTACTGCAAAGACTAATATACATGCTTAACTTTATGTCCTGCAATTAATCTCATCTACTTCAACGGTATTACTCATAATGCTGTAAGTGAAATACATGTGTAAATCCTTGCAGAATCATGGCCTGAATTGCCAACAACGTTATATGGTGCAATTAAATGCCTAGGCCTAGAATGGCTCTTCAGAAAGATTAGAAAAAAACCCCAACCCTTTAGGCATAATAAGTAACACAGTCTACTCCAGGGAGTGGCTATGGGAGAACTAGTATTGAGGGAGTTGTCTTCCCTTGGGAAATTCACCTGTCACCAAATCCTTCCAGTAATTCACCTTCTTCCTCTACCAGTTATCACCTTCACTTACCACTCCTTTCTCACTCATCAAATACCATTCTCCCTCTCCACACATCCTGCTACTGCTGCTATGTGATGGAGGAGACAGGAGATGCATCTTGATCCTTCTGATTCTTTTGTGCAGTGAAGTAGGATGAGAGCGCAGTCTGGCCCTTACATTCACTAGCACAGTAATAAACAGCTCACATGCTAATTAACAGAGCTGGCTGCACAACTAAACGATTTCACCAACTTTGCTTCTTAACCTGTTGCTGAACGGTTCGCATGCTAGTGTCTCACTGAAAATTATTTGCCCAGTAAACTCTATGGACAATCCTTAACTTATTACTAGAGTTTGTTACAGGAAGCTGCTAGTCAAAACATACACAAATCGGATACCTAAATTGCCTAGCTCTGCCTCCTGATGAGTAGCTTACCATCTGGTTTCTTCTGCAAGTACACATGAATGCTGTACCAGAAGTTACTCTCTCTGCATTATCTAGTTTTTGACTAAAATCCACGGCTTCCACAAACACTTCCGCTTCTAAATTAACTCAGTCAGAAATATTATCTAAAATGCTGGGAAAACAAAGTCAATCCCTTAAAAGTTCAAATGACTATTTGTCACAAACATTTCACCTCTACTAATCAACTGCAAAAATGAATGATAGAAAATGCAAAACTGTATTATGTTTAGCAGTTAACATTTTAATAAGGAGGAGATTAGCAATTTTTAATACCTCCAGTGCTTTGTTATATACAGTAGCACAATAACTGAATATTTTAATTGCTAATTATTTAGACCTCATTCAGTTCTCACTCAGGCAAAACTCCCATTGAGGGACTCTTGCCTGAGAAAAGAGCTACAGGATTTGACTTACTGTAATTTGAAAAAACTTTATATATCATAAAAACTATCAAGTTATAGTGAGACAAAAATCATTAAATCCTTAGCAATATTAAACCCTACTGAAAGTCCCACTGACTCTTAACACCAATGTTTTCATATTAAGTAAAATAGATAATTGCAGTTTACCAGTTGTAACTTACCTGTATAATTTATGCCCAGATATGCTGGAGCTCTAAAAGAGGCCTAATAACATTCTGAGTTTTCTTACCATATCCTTGCTTTTCCCCTGTGGGAAATCTCAGTGCAGATGTGTTAGGCAAATAGCATTTCCAAACAATTACGATATCAACACCTTCAGAAACCCAAAACCTAGCATTTGGTTTTACCTTTTGACTTCGGACTCCAAAAGGGCTAAGAGCAGCTCTCAACACTTCTTTCTTATGCTGCTGTAAAGAAAAGAAATGCTTATGTTTAGGGATTTGCACACACAACACCCTGAGTTTTCATAACAGTCAAACAGCTAGGCATTCAGTGGGGGAAGTGGGTGGAATGCTGTATATGTATAAACATATAGCTATTTGAAGGAAGACAAAACAAAGTCCCACACATTCACATTTAGTACACAGGCAATGAACAAATAAGCTAAATGTACTAGTATCCGAAATGTCACGTTATACACATCCTTCAGAGAGAAAAGTTACAGAACTGAACACCAAATTAGTAAGACTTCATGCTTAAAAAAAAAAAAAAATCTCAATTTGTCCAATAAGTGTAGTTTCGTTCCTGTTAAGAGAGAAAAGCAAATGGGTGTCACAACCAAAGTTTTGCTGCTTATGTTTGCCATTCAAATGCATTTGTGGAAAAAGTTACAGGTAAGTTTGCTAACAGATCAAGAAAGTTTGAAGAGGTTATTTTATTGGTTTTGAATGAAAAATGGTATATCAAGTCTTCACATCTTTCATTAAATGGCTTTAATGACTAAAATGTTCAGAAAACCTGACTATAGATTGCATTTTGAAAAAAAACAATTAAAAGCAGACTTAGTACCATATACCGCTAATTACCAAAATGTTCAGAACTGGCTGCCAAACAGCTGAGGAAAGAATAAGTATTTTGAAGTCTGAAAATAAGACTTGGGCACTCTCCTTCCACCAATTTGGAATATGTTTTAGGGACCTGATCAACATAATTCCCAAGTCCTGTTATGAGAGGTTCACTTAGACTGCAATGCCCGAACCCACTCCAGCCAGGCTTCTCGCTTCCTCGCAAGAGCAACGAGATCCCTTCATTCCCCTCAAGGGCTGAGCTTCCATCTAAGAACCTGTGTCCAAAGCTAATACCAGCTCGAGTATGGCAGGATGGGGCTAACTGAGCCTACTGGTATTCTTTAATCCTTCACTGGTGAGGGGTTTCCAAAGCTAGCCACAAAGGCATTTTAATCACTGAGATTTTGACCCCTTTGTCATACTGCAGAACTGATTCAATTGCACTTATTTGCTACAGACCCGTCTCCTGAAAGCTTGGATGATTTTTTTTTTTAATGTTAGCAGACCTGTGATCTGTTACCTGTTAAAAGCAATTTGTTAACAGAAAAGAACGGCTCTGTGGAGCACTGTTGCTTATTTAGCAAGAAAGGACACAAAGCGTTGCTTTCTCAAATAAAGAAGCTGTAACACCAGCAGGCTTTCAGGCTCTGCTTTCCAAGCCTGACTTCCTATCAGTTCCTGGCTACCACAGGGATGCTTCTGTTGCTTTCTCAGAGACACGCTCGCAATTTCTTTTACATCTGCAGCTTTCCTCTTGTTTTCTGGGTGCTTCCTACTGCTGCTCATCACAATCAAACGATGCCCCAGCTTCAGCATTTGTGGAAATTTCCCCATGGCAATCCCCCCAGCCTATGTGGGTCAGTCCTGAGCGTACACAGCGTGGCCTGTTCAATGGCAGCTTCCACTGTTTTCAGGGAAGAAGGTTTATTTTGCTTGAGCTAAGGCTGTGTAGCATGCGCTTCAGCTTTCGTAAGGTCTGCAGTTGCCTGAATAGACACGCTGGATGGCAGCTGTTAGCACTTTCCAACATTACACAACCACAGTCTGGAATAGTCTGTCAGTTCTGCACTGACAATGAATAAAGCAAAACAGAAGGCCTAAAATATTGAGTAATGACGATAGGATTTTGACCTTTAAATGTTGTTAGATGTACTGCACGAGGGTATGTTTGATTTAAATGATACTATTAGGTATGAAACTCTGCTGTTTGCCTAATGTCTAACTCATCTAACAACTGAACCACGCTGTACTTGCTGGCACGCTATGTGCTGCAGCGCGAGATGGCTCTGCTGAGTGAGCCCAGTAAGAGAGGGTGGCACTGGGGAATCTGGGAGAGATGAAGAGAGGGGAAAAAGCATCGCAAAAACCAATCACAAGGTGAAAGAAAGTATTTTCTATTCTAAGCCCACTGATCAGTCAGACCCGTGGTGGTGCTTATACATTATCTCCTCACACTCAGCAAAAGATTAAATCCGAGTCAAAAGCCTCCGTTTCCCTTCTCTGGCCTATTAGCATTTGAAATTTTGTACAACTACCCCTGATGTACACAGCTATCTTTTTGTCAGACGTGATTCTTGCAAGAAAGTGCTACACAAGAGTCTGTATAACTGTTAGGATTACATTTTTTTTTTATTTTAATTGATCCTTTCCAAACATTTGAATGCCTGAGTTTAATTAGTGGCAACATTTCTGCCACATAGTTCTTAAAACTATTTTTATATGTGATTTAAACTAATCATGGCTTTTACTTGAGATGGTCATTTGTTGGACCAAAACAGCTACTAGAGCGTACCATAGCCAAAATTACAGGTCATTCATTTTGTTTTAAATGCCAACCTCCTTGGATCAACAGCTTGTTGGTGATTCAAATTATATCTTATCAAGTAATACCCTCTAAATCTGATTGCATTCACATGACATCAGTGATGTGAAAACCTATGCACGCAGCTCAGGAAACCACTTTTGGTCCCGTTGAAAGTTAAACCCCATATACTAAGCAAAGGCCAATACTTTACAGCATAGGATCGCAATAGGCTTACTGACCTCAAAGTCGCAAAACGTATCACCATACTCAGAGAGGCCTGAAGCAGATCATGGTAATTTCCTAGACAAATGTGCTTTCAAGGATGACGCAAATCAGGTACACTTACTAACTCTGCTTTTTAAAATATCTAACCAGAACAAGGTCTACCACAAAAGTAAGAAATATAGAAATGGATCATTTTCACAGTGCCTTTTCTGCTATGCCAGTTGCTCGCAGAGTAACAACAGCATACTGTACTGCTGTTCAAATGCAAACAAGAAAGAACTATACATACTTGTTCATTTCCTTATGTTAATGCCTTATAAACCGCATGGCCTTTTGACATTTCCTACTAATGAAAAAAATCCTATTCAGTGAACTGTCATCAGATTAAGTGAGACGAAGATAAATACATTCCGTTCAAGAATATGTAAAGAATGTGTCAATTTTATTTACATTTTCTCTCATGGTTATGGAGCTTTTGCCGATGGTGAGAAAATATTATAGGATAACCATGTGGATCTTGTCTTTTAAGACTATATTCAATGAACAAAATGCAAAGAATAAGAGAAATTATATTAGCATTGCTCCAGTTCAATTCCTTCCAAATAGTTATCATACATACAAACTAACTCTGGTAGCAAGTGGATGAAAGGAATCACTGTTGATTAATGCAAAGAATATAGGAGCCAAAGGGTTTCAGACAACGATTCACTGTGAGACTACCAGTAAATCTCTTGGTCTCTCTTTTGAGATTCACTCAACCTGGCATGAACATTGGGTAAAGTATGTCCTTAGCAAAATGGACAATGCATCACAGCAATGCTCTTTTTAAGAAAAGAGACTTGTGTGTGAATGTAATGCTTATGGAAAGGTCTAATCTGGCAGGCTTAGAGCTTGAAATCCTCTCATTTCCAGGACAGTACTTCTAGCAGCTGAACAGATTGTCTCACGCAGGCTCACCACTACCGCTCGGCCTTAGACTGAGGGACCGTGTTGAGTTGTCAGGTTTTGTGGCTGGTTCAACCTCTTTCATTGGACTTACAACCACAGACCAATTACTATTGACTGTAGTAACTTTTTTTGTGATAGGGACTTCGGCCCACTGAGACCTAGAGTTGAGATCTCTCTAACTTGTTTCAAGAGTCAAGCTTGTCCATCTGGGGGGAAAAAAGAGGAATAAATCAAATGACTAGCATTAAACTCCACCATAAAAGCAGATTCTGAAGAATTTCCAAAGACAATTGCCCAAAGCAAAACGCTGACCTGGCTTGCAAGTATAAGATAATGAACTGGATATGAATTTGCTTTTTTTCAGGAAAGGAAGCTTTGTAAATGTATGGAAAAGTTTTAAAGAAACAACAGTGTTACAATACCATTCTTAACGCACGAAAAAGTGTTTCAGAAAACAATTTCATTTCCTCGGTGCACTTCTAAATTCTGTTTGAAAAGGACTATCTGCCCATATTCATCTCCATGGAACACTTGGATTAAGTGTGTGGGCCCAGGACAAAATTACCTTTGAAGGAAACAGTCAACAATGATGGAGAAAGGGGAACATCTGTAACACTATCTACCAGGTTAACCACCTTCATGTGCCATAATGTTATTTAAACAGAAATCATCACCTGGAACAAGAGAAGCAAATAGCATTTTTAATCTTAGAAGTACTAGCAACTAGTCTGTGTATTTCTTCAGAAGGAAATACCAGTGCAGACAGTGAATTAAAACATGCCATGGTAACAGATGAAGACTTCAACTGTCAACAAAATCAGGCTATTAATTCTCACATAAACAGTCTTTTTAAATCTTTGATTTTTAATATACAGTCCAAAGATCACTCTCACATTTCAGCAGCTTTTGTCTTTTAATGCCAATCATTTCAACTGACTTTTCTCACTACCCTGTGCTTTCTCTCCCCTTTGGAAAAGGTGAGTGAAAATATCAAATGATATCTTACTCTGCCAAGACCAAAGGAGCAGTTCAAACGTTCAAAAAAATTAGGCAATGGCTTTGCTTAAGGCAGGGAGGGGATGCGATTAGCAGTGGGGTGGATCACTGCCTGGCAGGGGAGGGAAAAAAAAACAAACCCAAACCCAAATCTCTTCTCATTCTCTGTTTCAATCTATGCTTAGGTCTAGACTATGTAAACAGCAACCGAAAAGGAGAACACAGAATTATTTTGTTGATATTGTGTTATTTTCTCAAGTGACAAATACTGAGATTCAAGGGGAACCTGGTAAACCATTCGCCTGCTCATTACCACCGAAAGCAAAGATGCCCTGACTGATCACCTGCCGCAGGATGCAGTCTCACCATGGATGGATCTAACGCTGTCTGGGAGAGCAGCTCACGCTGCTGTTGGCCTCTCTCTACCT